AATACGTGACCATTGAAAAAGATAAATTGTGACAAAAAAATAATGTGTGACCTAAAAAATTGTTAATTAATTTGACAATTTGTGACTATCTACTAAATTGTAACTTATGATATTTGTGATTTGTGATCGATGAACAAGTTGCGTATAAATTTTCTTATTTGTGACCGATGAACAAATTGTGACCTATAAAATTTCTGATTTATAAAATTTCTAATTTGTGATTGATGAACAAATTGTGACATATAAATTTTTTGAATTGTGGCCGTAAAATGATTTGTGACGTTTCACAGATGAACAAATTGTGACTTATAAAATTTTTGAATTGTGACCGTAAAATAATTTGTGACATGAAAATAGTAATTTGTGACCAAATTATATGAAATTGTGACCTTAATATATTTAATTAATAAAATATATATTTAATTAATTAATTTATAAATAAAATTTAAAAAAATTCCCGAAATTTGAAATTTTAAACTTAATTTCTTAAATTTGAAATTGGTAAAATTAAACCTCTTATTTATGAATTCTCTCCGTATAAAAATTTCATTACAAATTCGAGAACTAATGAGGCTTAGTGTCGGGATAATTTTTGCTATAATTCGAGAATAGTTGTGTTTTAAAAATATTTTGTGTAATTATTTTTTTTTTTAAAATACAATGATATTAAGTAACAGTAATTTTCAGCTACATCAAATTTGTAGTATTCTTCGGTTTTCACATAATTTTTGGTCTCTCTCTCAAATTGACCCAAAAAATATCTTTCCTCAAGAATCAAGTCGCAAAATATATGCATTGACATTTGACAGAGTGATAAAGTGGGGAATTTTTTAGAATGACCGATAAAATGATTAATATTATTTATGAATTTTACGAAATTCTCGTTTTTTGAACTTTAAGTTGAATTAAGTTAATCCTTTTAGTCACTTGATTTGACATGTTAATTTTAGACCTTGTTTGGTGGTCTTTTTTTTTTTTAAATATTGTTTTAAATAGTGAATTTCTTGAGAACTATGGTTAAAAAGAAGTGAAAATTTTTAATTTACGTATAGAATATTTTATGGGAACAATACATAAATCAGGTATTTTACTTTCACCAATTTAAAAAATACAGAAAAAAGTTTCAAATTTCAAAAATCATGTTTCTTTAAATTTTTATTCATGAAATAATAATTATTAAATCAATTTATTATTAATATTTAATTCTAATATAATATAATAAACTCACCCTCACCTCCACCACCCCTACAGCACCGATGATTATTCCGACGACCTTTTCGATCACAACTCTACTCCAACGACCGTTCCGGTGATTGCTTTGATTCCGATAACTATTTCGATGATCATTCCGTCGCCGCTTTATTCCGGCGACTTCTTCGATTCCTGTAATTGGTCCAACTCAGGCGAAATTTTTTAGGTTACAATTCAAAATTTTCATAGGTCACAATTTAAAAAATTAAAAGTCACAATTTGTTCATCAGTCACAGGTCACAAAATTTATATTGTGACCACCTAATTTTACATTTGTGACCACCGAATTTTATGGTCACTGATTATTTCTCCACCACGAATTAAAATTTTTTATAGGTCACAGATTGAAAAAATCAAATTTTTTGTTGGTCACAACTCTGTTACAGTGAGTCACTGTCACAATTTCTAGGTCACAGACACCCACCCACCCTCAACTCATATCATCCCCACCCCGACAGTCGCCACAACCGCCCCCACAGCTACAGCCATTGCACGTGACCAACAACAAAATTGCCTTCACCAAGTCATCTACAAGCCCGCAACAGCACCACCGTCTCCACCACCTCAATAACAACACCACT